TACACAATGGTTAAAAAAATGTTTCCAATAATTGCAACTGGTGGCGATGGGATGTTTCTCAACTTTTTTATCCAAGCCCATAACAAAAATTTAAAAGAACGCATTTTGTAGATCCCGATAACTAGTATGTACATTGAAAATTTCATCGAAATCTGTGAAAGTTGAAAACAAGTTTTTAGCCATTATCTAGTAAACCCTAACATCTCCAAAAAATTGAACTCGTTTGGCCCAATTATAAAGAAGCAATTCCGTTGTGAAGGGCGGCATTTTCTGCTGCTACCGGTAGAAGATTAAAGAGAAACAAGCTCCAATCGTTCTAGCTACGAAGAAAGTTCGTAGAGGGTTAATAAAATAAATTTGATTTACCAGTTAGCAGTATTATCTGCGGATATACACGAGCTTGGTAGTTTATCCGGAGATAATCGCGTCGATTTCGAAGCAATTTTCGAATCACCGTGCGCTAGAGCTTCCCCGAGCACCTAATGGTTTTCAGCTTTGAGATCCTCACGAATCCCTATGACAGCACGGTATCACCGCGGTAACCCAATTCAATTACTCGATTAGCTCTACGATCTCGAATAGAGTCCCAGATGCCAGCGGATATTCCGGTATTAGTGTTTGAAACGACACAGCTAGATAAAATCGATTCCGCATGGAGCCATCCGTTCGGAAAATCAAATCGATCAAAGGAACCGCATGTTTCAATGGATTAAAGATCGGCGGCGGATTACACGACTGCAACAGCACTGACACGAGAATTCCCATCAACGCGTAACTATGCATGTACCTTCGACAAACCTACGAACACATTTCATTTATCTCAGAGGGTAGCGAAGCCGGTTACCACGGGGTGACCAATCGCTGTGCCTTTTGTTCGTCTTCGGATACAATTAACTTTATATTTATCGAATAAGGTATATTAAATTTTGTTATTCTTTTAGTTTGTTTCTTTTTAGTAGAAAAAATTTAGTATATCTTATTCGACGAGTATAAAGTTAATTTAACCCGGAAACAAGCCAAGGGCGCAGCAATTGGTCACGTCCGCAGTAACCAGCACAAGATAGAATTCTTTTATTCAAAAATAAACAAAATAAACGAATATGTATAAAATGTTGATCACGGGGCTGACTCGTTGTCACAGTGCAAAGCAAAGTTAATCTAAAACCTCGACGACTTATGTTGCAAAGAAAGGTGTTAACCCTTTGCTCTCCGCTGTCCCCTCTCGTGGGACATTAAAGTTTATTAGTGATTACGGGGAATTGAGTTATTTCAGCGCAACTTTTTGAGACATGCATGTTTCCCTGAAGTTTTCTCTTGAAATGGCACAAGAAATCAAATCAAAATATAGTAAAATTACGAAGATATATACAAGAAATGTCAGCGGTTTTTGACGAGAACGTGAGAGGCGTGCTCACGACGGTCCGAGCACTTCAAAGGCGCCACTTGAAAAGAGCGATAAGGCAAGTTCGTAGAAGAAAGATCGGTATGCGAACATAGCACGCACTGTATAGTGAGATTTATAATCATAGAATCTGGAGGAAAAGATTTTCAAAGCTGAACTCGGTCCGGTTTGAAGCGTCGAGCGGTATAGATAGATCTAACGAATGAGAAAATCGGAAAAGTGATTCTTCTCTTGGTAAATATATTGTTTGGTAAAAGTTTTTTTGGTAAATATCATCTTGTGAGTTAGTAATAACAATTAGAAATTTTCAACCTATGTATTTATTCATATTTTTTATTAGAATAATGACAAAACATTCAAACACGAATAAGTCTCATGACACAAGTAGTAGCGAAGATGAGCTCCAGATAGACATTTATACAGATATGTTAGAAAGGCTAACTGTAGAAGGTTTTCTTCTACAGTTAGTCTATCGTTTTGATAGCAGCGATAGTGATATCGTCCAAGCAACAAGGCGACGAGAGAAAGAGTTCGCATAGATAGCGATTACAACAACAAAACAAAATTATAAAACAAACAATAACAAAATTATAAAAAATAAAATATTGATTTTTTTGCAAATTTCTCGATTTCAGCCAAATTCATATAAGTCCAATATCATTATAATATGTTAGTTAGTTCCAAAACCATACTAAATAATACGAGGGTCTGTAAATGCCCGTTTCTGCCGAAAAGTGGCGCTGAATAGCTGGTAGCCAACGTCCAGAATGGTTCGGAGTGCTAAGGGTTAACTGGACAAGCCCGAATCGCCGGGAAGATTATTTCGAAAAGTTCGGACCACAGACCGCGCGCCACTCCCGTTTTCCGTATGATTTATGGAAAGCTCGTTCCGACGTCGTTGTCTCGTAACCGGGCACTATAAATATCTCCGGCACGCGAGGGAAAGAAAAAACGGAATGAAGAAAACGAGAAGAATGGCGGGAGCAAAGAGCATGCTTGACCGATTTGCTCCGACGTGGTTCTCTTTAACAGTACACGTTACTGTACCGTGACCCAACGTTTTCCATCTGGCGTTGCCGCGTTACAGCCGGCCCCAACTGCTCGCGTTTCCGATTTCTTGCTTTCAGGAACGGTCGCAGCTTACCACGCCCTCTCACCCCCGCAACCCCCGGGAAAACGATACGGCCGGAAGGAATAGGGAATCGGAGGGTGCGACTGGCTCTGTCTCGGGCTGTTAAATACGAACTGTGCCGCATTCACGGGTATTTCGATTTTGTTTTCATTCGATCACAAATTTCTGAGCGGACACTTTTCGAAGCAGAGTATAATTGAGCCGTTTATTTTGAAAGTGGCATAAGTCACTTTGTTTTTAAGTCGATATATCTAAGGGTTTGCGTTTTAACACGTATAAAAATATGGATGCTAACTTTCGAGAAGATTTACTTGTATTTGTTATCTCAGGATACTGATATTTTTCTCAGTATAAATAATTTCGTATAAACATTAAAAAATCACCACTTTTCATTACGGTAAAGTGACTTATGCCACTTTCAAAAGAAACGGCTCAATTAGTGGGAGAACCGAACTGTAGATTTTTACTACGATCGAGGACGAAAAGATAAGACGCCCTATCAATTTGACAATTTTTATTTAACACGTAACGACAACGAGATTTATTATACGTACGTTTCCTTTTGCATTACTTTCGTTTATAAGCTTTAGTCGGGTAAACTAGATATTTAAAATAATCTCAATTTCAAATAATGAATTATTTCGTCATTCTTTAATTTCAAATTGCGACGAAAGCAATAATCACTGAAATAAACTTTTACATTACTTAATGAAGTAATATGTCAAATAATGACGCTTCGAAAGTGATAACAGGCATGGAAATAATTATGAAATTGAATAACGTGTTATTTGAAATAATATATGAAGGTGCCCGGGATCATAATAAATTAATTGAACACAGCTAAGCGGCGTGTTTTGTTCGGAATTCGTGCGTTTTGTGCATGCCGAGCAAGGATTCTCGACTTTCCGAATCCCGTTGATGAGAGTGCGATGAGAGTACGGTTACTTTCCAGACGGTCTATTACTTACTTTCCATTCACAAAGGATGGAAAGGCGCAACACGGTTCACACGCGGGACATGTTGACGGGATCGGTATCGGCAAGGTGGCACGGAAACGTGGTCGCGAGGCGCGCGGAAAGTATGACGTGACCCAGAAAAATCTCTGTCGTGGGTTTGACGCGGAAAGGTTCAGGGATTAATCAACCCGGAGAAAGGGAACGGAACAAGGGACGAACGAAAGATTTATTGTGCCGGGAGAGGAGCGAGCAATCGGAGACTGGTGCCACGCGGAATACGTAATAACGAGACGTTACAAACGAGAGCCTCGCGTACTTTATGAAGGCGCCCCTTGTTCCGTAGAGTAATTATATTTCTAAAGAGAAGAGAGAGAGAGAAAGATGAATCCAAAGACACAAGAGGAAGAGAGAGAGAGAGAGAGAGAGAGAAAGACAGAGAGAGAGAGAGAGAAAGACAGACAGAGAGAGAGAGAGAGAGAAAGACAGAGAGAGAGAGAGAGAGAGAGAGAGACAAACAGACAGAGAGAGTGAGAGAGAGAGAGAGAGAGAAAGAGAGGAGAGAGAGAGAAAGACAGAGAGAGCGCGTGCGGTCGTGCAATTTCAAGAAATCCGCGGCCAGTGCATCGCGAGCCAAGTCGTTAAGTTTTACTAATGAGGGATAGACTGATATTAAAACGCAGGAAACTACGCGATAACGACACACCGTGGCCACGCAAGATGCAGATAAGAAATTTAATTGATCGACGCGCGCGGATCCAAAGAATGCTACTTTTAAGTGCACTGCGAATCTAATTTTAATCCGCAGCTGACCACGCGATATTTATCGCGATGCTCTCCGGTGTTAAGTTTGTTTGTTGCATACAGTGACTCGCGTTAATATTCGGACACCTTTTGAAACGAAATAACTTTCTTCGAGTTAAACGAAATGACTTAAATTTTTTGGAGATTTTAGAAGGACCTGTTTATACTGTGCAATGGCAGAACTTCGTTTTCAATTCTGCTATTACTTGGACCGACGACAAAAATAAAAATATCACTTCGTCCACTTTTAAAAATGTTATTCTGCTTTTTTCGAAAGTTGTCCGAATATCAATGCGAGTCACTGTAATTGCTATAGGCAAAACTGTCATTTAATTTGTTTAGAAAGTGCAAACTCTATGCTTTTATGACAAGAGCGAATATAAAACAGTGAAAGGATTTAAACCTTCTATGGTGTTTCGGGACTGTATGAACTAGATCGTATATTATACTTATATAACATTTTTGATTACCATCTTATAGAAATCAAACTTGTTGACTTTGCTCATTTGCACAACCAAAGTGACTTATGCCACTTTCCAAATAAACGGCTCAAGTTATGATCAATGGTGAACACAGTCTCTCCGGACGAAAAGCTTTCTACTCTATTGCTTTCTATTTGTACCCAATTTTGAGAGGCTAATCACACGCAATAAATAACGTTACGAACACTACGACAGGTAGAAAGGTTTCATCGTGTTTGGAGTATTACCTATATTTCAAATTGATTGTCCATCCTCCGTGTATGTTCTCCTCTGAAACAAAAAAGAACAAAACGAAATCAATTAGTCTATTGCCGAACATAGTATGGGATTTTTAATCTTGACTCGCGCGTACATTGCCAACGGTTAAAGAAGCGTTTGGTTACAATTTTCACCTACACAGTAGCTTCGGCCCAAAGACTGACATCATTGAGAAACGTGATCAAGAGTGCATCGTTGCAAACATATTCAGTGGGGACACATTTACGATCCAGTTTTATCAATGTCCTTATCTGTATGAAACCGAACACCGTTTTATCAGCAAAAGAAAAAACAGATAAAAGATCCGAAATTAACTCTAAAATTACCATGTTTGCGATTTCGTACCATTCGAACCGTTCGACGAATTCGAAGTGTCGCGCGGAGATTTCAGAACGTGGAAAATATGAATAACAAACGCGGACATTAGAACATCCGACTATGACACATATTATGATGTAACATCGCGTCAGCGACCGCGAATGCGGTAATTCACTATATACGCGAGATTACGACGAGATAAAAAAAAACAATCGAAGGCACCCTGTGTGCTCGTTCGAATCAATAATAGCCCGAGGCATCACGCCAGAAGAAATGTTTAAACTTCGTTGAACCGATGTAAAAAGGAAACGCTTATCGGAAGTTCGTGCAACTATTCGCAGAGGCGTGCTCGCCGGTTGTAATTGTACAATTCCACCGCGGCGAAACCGATCTCTCTACACTCGATAAATCTTGCGGACTGCGCTCTCGGAGACCCGCGGAATTCCTGTCTAGAAATTTCAAAAAAGTTACGACCGCTGACTAACGCGTTTTTAAATAGCGAGCCGCAGGAGTGGGAAGCGAGCGTGTCGTAATGAATTTAATGAGTCCAACTATAGACGGGTCGCTGCGTTTCACCGAGACGCTCAATTGCTAATTAAAATACCGAACAAAGCAGAAATAGCAGGGCGCCCTCGCGGGTAACAACAAACGACGACCCTTAATCCGCCAGGATGTATTAGAATTAATACGAACGATGAAATGTAAATATCTTCGAGGTGATGTAAATAAAGCTGCCGTTCGACATCCGATAAGGGTGCGAACAAACATTTCCTTGCTTCACGTTGAATACTCGTTTACGAGACTAAATGAGCCGTTTGTTTTGAAAGTGGCATAAGTCACTTTTTTTTTTTAAATGAAAAGATACCGTTCAATTGTAATTAGTGTTACCATTAACTCGACTTTTTTGAAAAAGTGACTTATGCCACTTTCAAAATAAACGGCTCAAATATTGCAACATTCTTTCTTGACGTTCATAATCGAATTCTGCGGTTAATTAAACACTGAATTGGAATTTTGTTGAAAATTTCGAAACTGCTTCTAAAAACGGTTTTAGACATTTCGAAAGTTAACAGGAATAGCATTTAATGATGCTTAATAACTGAGAGAAGGTGTAAGCTCTATGCTCTTCATTAAGATACAATTATCGCAGAATTATTTTTCTTGTTAATCTTAAAGTAAATTGCTCGACTACACTCTTATATGCTTCGCTCTCTGTGCGTGACTGCGATGCTTTATGCAAAATGAAAACCTGTCCGCATTAATTGCGAGAAGTGGGATTTAAATGAAAATCTATTTTTTCTCTTAATAAGTTTGAATAACTTGGAAATAACAGTACTCTTCTGTGCATCGTTTATTCTCTTTTGTTAGAAATGCATTGAACTTGTGTTCCAATGATAAATTAACTCTTGCATTCGTTATCGAATAAGGAAATATGTAGAATTGCTTTCAAGACTATTCAAAGACGCGTTATCTTTCCATATACGCGAAACGTTTTTGTGCAGTTCTGTTATCGAGCATAAATTAAAGAATATTTAATCGGCAAATACTCGAGCACAATATTTTCAATGTTAAACTTGTGTTTACGACATTGTTTATCATGTCGATACGGTTAATACAACTTACGTGGCAAATTGCTATGCGTCATTACAAGAAGGTCACCAAAGCATTTATGGTCGCAGACTTCACCTGATAAGATACATATGTACGACTGTACACAAGAGGTGTAAAGAAACGTTAAGCACAATGATCCATCTTGTCTTAGACGTTGATTTTTGCAAAAAACAGTGAATTTTCCGCTCGAGCTATCGAACCGTCTAAGCACAGTGATATCGTCCTTGTCTTATTCCAATTTCACTCTCTTAGCAATTATAAACACAACACATATTTGAATATTTCGATGTTTTCCAATGAAATTTCAATGTTCACAATCGAAACTGTCTTCGGACACGGTGAGTTTAAATGTGTAATTAATTTAATATGCAAGATTATATAAATTAAGAAGGTCTAATTATTTATTTTTACAATGAGCAATTTTTAAGACGACAAAGGAAACTTTTCTTCAATTCTAGATTTGACAAAATAACATACAAAAATATGAATTTACATGAAGGTCCACGGTCTAATAATTATATTAATCATTTATCGTAATTATTCATAAAGTTCACACAAATCTTCGCTATCGTCAAATCTTTCTACGTAGAAGATCCTCATAAAATCAGCAATAAAACGATGGTATAAAGTACAAATAGAAGTAATCCCGTAGCTCCTCGCACTTAGAAAGTTTAATTAAACGGAAGCCCCTATAAAGAGAAGTTAGTGAACGACCTCGACCAAATTTTCTCATATCCATCATACCAAACCAATTGTTTTCCTTCGACAACAGTTTATACGAGAAGATATCCTCTCTTTCCTTTTTCAAAATTATGCTGTCGAATCTTCTCCATATTTTTAATTTTGTCTCACTTTGATGGTCGCCATCAGCTCCAAACTAACAAAATCATTTTTTGCCATTCTTATAACTCCAACATACAAACAGTTATCCTTTAATAATGCTAAATAAATATTTATAGTGCAACACAATTAATAACAAGTCACGCCTGTTTGGTGCGAACCTATTTCAATTATTTGCTCACCAGTGTAAAATATCTTAACACGTTCGCTACCAGAGTCTGTTTCAGTGACAATCTGTATGATTTTAATTTTTTATCAAATGCAACGTAAGCTCTTGCAATAGATAAGGATAAATATTATCGCAGAAAAATGGACGGGTCCTAGAATATTATCGAACGTATTACAACTTAGCCTAACAACGATTGTAAAATTGGTTTGATTTTCATTATGAAGATACGAAATTGTGGTTGTTACACATAACCGTACGTGACGACTCGTAATCAATGTGTTGATGTTGAAACACGATGACAAAACAATGAATGGAAAATTGTTATGGAGATTATAGTAAACGGGTACATAAGTATACGTTTCCCAATATTAATGCAACATCTACCAAGCCCTAAAACTGATTGGTACAAGTTGTTTTATAAAAATAATACGTACTGATTTTGCTAAACTATTTATTTAATTGGTTTCTATAAAAGTATCTTCATAATTTCAGCAATTGTAAAATAGAACATGGACAATAATATTGTACTAATTGCAAAATAAGACAAAGAACCCTTAATTTAACCGACATTGATAGGTTTAGTGTTAAACGTGTTAAGGGCTAGTGTTAAATGATACTTTCATAAAACACTGGATTACTAGAAGCATTCACAACATTTAACTAAAAAAT